TCTTTATATGAATTTGTAATTTAATGATAGAATATAATCTTTATAATTTATTTATAATAATATAGAATATAATCTTTATAATTAATTTATATAATGATATAAAATAAAGAAAAAAAATATTTTATATCATTATATAAATAAATTATAAAGATTATATTTTGTCATTAAGTTATAATATATATAAAGAGACTCAGCTCACAAATTTGACATCAAATTTTGAAAATTCACTCGACACACACTTTCATCCTCGAGCGCGTCCTCACATCCAACATATAAATATATAAATATATTTGTATTTGTATTTGTATTTATATATTTTATATTTATATATTTAAATGGATATACATTTTTATTTGTATATAAATATAATTTATGTATAAATTATTATCGGAAAATCCTAGTAGCTTAGTGGTTGGAGTATCGACCTCCGACTTTAAGGTACTGGATTCGAATCTTGCCGATAATTCTCTTAATTTGATAATAATTCAAATTCCTAAAAATATAAATAATATAATAAATAATAAAAATATAATATAAAAGGGAAAGGAGACCTCTAGATCAATAGATAGGGTAATTAGAGAGGGGTTATGAATATATAAATAAATAAAAATATTAGACTTTCTACATCGGTTCCTTACAACCGATGTGGAGAGTCACACTTTCTACATCGTAGTCGTATCGCCTATTTTGTACTAGTGCGCTTCGTTAACTCGTTGTTCCTCCTATTATTTTTCATCTAGAATTATAGAAGTTAAGATTCATAAAATCCCATGATAGGCTCATTTTATAGGTCACACATGAAATGTTGCTTTGATACCATCTAATGTAGCATCTCTTATATATATATATATATATATATATATATCACATTATTAACCATATTTTAAGAGATTACTATTTTCTATTAAGTCTTGACAAGTAAGATATAAGATAAATGTTTATACATTTATATGTACAAAGATGTGAGTTTTACAAGTTTACATTAATTTTATATCAAAAACAATTATTACAATTGACAAAAATTTTCTTCTAACAAGTGGTTCAATGATACGTGTCTTCCATCTTGATGCTTCTATCTATTTATGTTGATATTTTAGTTGTAACATGCATAAGAAATAACAATAAGAAAATGAGAACAATTATCATTTAAAATAATAACATCTTATAATGATATATAAAATATATTTTTTATCTTACTCAACTTATTTCATTTATTCCATTTATGAATATTAAAATTAAATTTGTAGTAACTAATCAAGATAAATGAGCCCAATTTTAATCACTCTCTCAATGATATTTTTACCCATTTCAATCCCTAAGGTCCAACCTCCATCTACAATATCATCAAATCTTCATAAATAAATATTATTATTTAAAAATAATTAAATAATATAAATATAAAATAGGACTAATGCATAACTGAAGATAAAATAAAATAAACAAACATGATCAATACGTAACTAGACATAAATAAATAAGACGAGTGCGTAACTGGAGATAAAATAAACAAGCATAAAGCGTAACCGATACATAATCGAAGATAATTAAATTAGGACCAGTGCAGGATCGGAGATAAACATAAAGTAAGATCGATACGTAACTGGAAATAATTAAAATATAAAGAATAAATAGAATGAGGTTAATGACACCTCACTCCACAATCATAAGTAAAAATAAAGAAGAATATTGATAAATGTCTCATTCCCCTACCTTAATAATAAAAGATGTTGTACAAAAAATTATTTTTCCTTCTCCTTCTCTTTATCTTCCTCTCCCTTTCTCTCTCTCTCTTTCATCTCCCTTTCTTCTTTCTCTCTTTTTTCTCTCTCCTCTCTTTCCCTTTCTTCTCCTTCAATTTTTTTTTCTTTCCTTCATTTAATGTTTTGGAATCTTATCTTTTCATTGATTTTTTTATGATTTCCTATCATTAAATAAAACTTATCTCTTAGCATGAAGAGATAAGATTCTTATCTTCATTCATTTTTTATTAATATATATATATATATATATATATATTTACTAAAAATTTAAATATATATATATATATATATATGTATATATTTTTTAATAATAATTTAAACTATGATTATTTTAATATATATATATATATATTATTTATTTATTTTTACATAAATGAGTATTTTATTTTAAAATTATTTAAATTACCCAAAATATTATTTAATACATTGAATTTGAAAAAAAAATTTACATAATCAATTTTGAGATGTTACAAGTAGTGGAGATGGATCTTAAAATACCTAAAACATTAATTTGACTCTTGTTAACATGCAATACCCATAAAGATAAATCAACTAAACAAATGTTAAAAGCAATTATCTCCATCCAAGAATCAATTATATCCGCACAAACTATGATTCTCATCCAATACATGATATAAATATAGTAGACACGTTCAAAAGAGTTTGTTGGCTTATTACATTGAATTGAGAAAAAAAATGTTATTTTGAAAATTTAAATACAAGAGTATAAATATTATAATAATATAACATTTTCTCTTTTTCACTACTTTTGTCTATTTCATGTGGTTAAGAACATATTTTGTAAGAATTGTTGGGACAAACCCCCTTTGAAAATTTGCCCCCTCTTCCTCTCTTTTTTTCCTTCGTTAATATGTTGTACATCCAAATTCGACATCATAGTCAAAACTTATCCTTCTTCAAACATTCAATGTTTTCTTTTCATCATCATAAAATCCTAAACCCTTTATACTGTAATGTTTTCTCTTCGCATCATACCATATCATTTTCTTTCTTACTTACTCATTACTATTATATAATTAATATACAAACAACAAAAAATGTGGGATTCAAACAACTAAACCATGAAAACATTAAAATATAGTGTATAAATCGTAAATCCACTCAAACGGATAATCACAAACTACAACAGTTCAATTTCAATAACAATCCAATATAAATATTCATGCAATAACGTGATTGAGATCCACAAAAATAATCATGAATTCAATTAACATAAAAGAGTAGACATAGAACATTAACCTCATATATACAAAACACACTCTAAAACTCAATTTCAATCAAAGAGAAATGTCAATCACCACAAATGACGTACAATGTAGGTGTTTTCTTGTCACTCACTATGGTTGAAATGTACCTTCAGAGGAGTTGGTTTGGTCGCTGCCGTCATCGTCACTTGTAAACTCTCACGTACGGGAGGAAAAAGAAGCCTTGGAATGATTGAAACACAACTTTTACATCAAACCTCATAGGGGCCAACATAAAAGCCGCTTTTTACATTAGTTAGAGAGCTACCCTATGTAAAATGCAGTTTTTACGTTGGCTTATAAGAAGTTCAACGTAAAAGTAGTGTCCACTATTTACAAAAATGTCATCATGTTTTTTTTAAGTCAGTTATTTTTTGGTCCGACGAGAATTGAGTGACATAAAAAATTCATTTTGCACTAGTGTTTGAACAAAAGCATCTTTAACCATGACTGTCTCATAAGCGACCCTTAGTTCATACTCAATTGAATCGATCACCGAACAAATAATCGACTCTGATACCATTATTAAATTTATTCAAGGGGGTTAACACAAGATAATCCTCACAAATAGACATTAATCATCTATATAAGAGAATAAAACATAATCTTCAACCTAAAACATTAAAATATTAAATTTATATGTTTTTCTCATTTACATGTTATCCAACTTTCTAATTTCTACCAAATCTAAGACTTGAATTCATATTGAAATTCTAAAAGATATTCATTTTTTGTACAACAACAACTAACTCATCCCTTACTCCAAAGAGGGTAAAGAAACAAAAGAAAGAGAAAGTATGTATGAGAAAAAAAATTAAGGAAAAATGTAAAATAAAATAAATATTACATTTTATTGAAAGAAAATAAAATAAAAATAAAGTTTGAATAAAGCTATGAAAGAGTTTGATTTGAAAGATAAAAAAATAATAAAAAAATAATTTTATTATAGTCATTAATTTTTTATTGGAAGGTCCTCTAACAATTATATTTAAATGTCTAATTCATTGTATAGAAATTTTGGAATATATATATATATATATATATATATATACTACAAGAAATTTCTGATTCATCGACGGATGTAGAGCCGTCGGAAAATGAGTAATTACCGACGAAAATTATCGATGGATTTAAGATAGTTGTGAAATTTGGTTTTACCGACGGATATATCCGTCGGTAAATGAACTATTAATTATCGATGGATATATCCGTCGGTAAATTAGAAGGAAGTGATTACCGATGGATATTACCGACGAATTTTTGAAATGTGGTCCATCAGTAAATTAAGACCTATTTATCTGCTCAGATTATTGTTATCTTGTAACCTAAACGAGATCTCGCCAGTTTCTCACTTTATTCCCTGATTCCCTCTTGGTAGCCTCCAAATTCAGGTGTCACACCACCTTATGACGGTCACAACCACTCACCATCAGTCGTAGCCCTTCCATGATGCCTATCACCTCCACCTCCACTACCAGTGACTCGCGGCGTCACCTCCCACCTCTCATCATCTCCTTCAATTCTTCTCCTTCACCAACCTCACTTACTCTCGCCCCACCCTCACCGAAAATCACTCTAACACCCCATCTCCGTCAGGTGATCCCTAGCTTGGGTCGCCTCCACCACTAACCGCGAATCGCCTCCCTACCCATCCACTCACCACGGATCGAAGCAGCAGCCAGTCCCCTTGTCGAAGGTGAGGGCATGAACTAGCTCCCCTGTGGAGGTTGAACTCGAGGTCAGGATCCGTATTCTGGGTTTGTTTTTGCTTTATGTTTGTACCTTATTCTGATTTAGCATTGTAGGGTTTTGCTTCTCATCTGCCATTCGAAGAAGAGTAATGGCAATTCCTAATACAGAGTGCAAAATGCTTTTAAATAATGGGAAAAAATACCCTAAAATAAATGAATATGTTGTTTTACCCGATCATACACTGCACCTAATTTCCTCACCCACTCCAATCACACCACTTAAAATGAACATATCTGAAGGCCACAGGAACCAACTTTCCTCAGGTTTCTATTTGAATGCGCCATCTCAAAAAACCCCTGAATCTGCTTTGAAGAGCCCCTCGTCTGTATTGAACCCTCCATCCTCCCTAAAAAGGACTATTCGAGACTACTTTTCAGCTTCTCCTAAAATCATGTAGGCTTGTTAAACCAACCAAATTCCGTGATCAAGTAACAAAATTTTTGCACATAATGTTTTCATGGTTGGAATTTCTCGAAGGATTTTGCTTGTGATGGTGTAGTCTTATTGATTGGGACCATGCTGAACATTTTTATTTCTAATTGAAGTCTGCTGGATTTTGTTTAGGGTTTCATTTTTGCATAATTGGCCTTATTTCATTTTTCTGATTGTGGACTGAGTTGCTTGGTAATTTCAGTATAATTATGCCTTGGTTTTGATGTGTCTCGACCTTATTCTGATTTGGCATTGCATTTATGGTTGAGGGTCTTGTTTCTGATGATTTATGATCGAAGGATTTTACTTGTGATGGTGTAGTCTTGTTGATTGGGACCATGCTGAACATTTTTATTTCTAATTGGAGTCTGCTGGATTTTGTTTAGGGTTTCATTTTTGCATAATTGGCTGTCGCCGCCGTCAAAACGAGGCGGTCAGAGCGACGCGATGGTTTCGACTTTCCATTTTTCGCGTTTTTATTGGTGTGGTTACAACGCCTTTAGGTTATCCGATAACCGGGCTGAACCTAGAGGCGAGGTTTTTGAAAGGGCGCTCTTGGGTTGTCCGATAACTGGGCTAACCCAAGAGCTAATTTTTTAATGGTTCTCTAGACTTGCCACCGATGTTTTTACCGGAAACATCAAAAAAGGGGTTAAAAGGCGTTGGTTTTCGAAAAACCAACTTTGGTCATTAGAACCAGAGTTGGGTAAGGGAGTTAGTTACGTGTAAGGGAAGTGTTAGTTACCTTACGATGCCCCTTTCGGGTTCCCTATGATAGGCCAGCTATATTAAATAATTAAACCGGTGAAAATACGTTTTTACCCTTTATTTTGCGGAATTTAAAGATTATGACTACATGGCCCTATATCTATTGCATAATTGAAATAAAGCGGTAAAGGAGAGAGAGAGAAAGTGTAGAAACCTCCGAGGCACGCTTTCTATTAATTCTTTCTGAAATTAGGGTTGTGGCAACCCTTCACTCTACACAGCGTCGGAAACCTCTCGAAACGCTCAAAAAACACTCTTAGAAACGCTCAGAAACTCCGGAAATGCTTCGGAGGGGTTCTAGAGAGAGAATTTGAAGAGATTTCTAGAGAGAAAGAGGAAGAACTGTGTGGAATGAGGGGAATGGGGCTCCTATTTATAGGGATTTGCGCCTATCAGGTTGAGACGGGCCATCTCGTCTGACAAGGTTGAGACGGTCGTCTCGCCTTACAGGAATGGCGAGACAGCCGTCTCGCCAAACAAGACGGCGGTCTCGCCACTTGTGCAAGGCGAGACGGCGGTCTCAACCCTCAAAGGCGAAAATCCTTATTTTTATCCCAAAAATCCCTCCTATCCTAGTATGGGGCCTAATAGTCTCTCCTTGTGGCTTCTTAGGCTTCATCCATCTTATGTTTATAGATTAAAGAAAGCTTTGTATGGTCTCAAACAAGCCCTAAGACAATGGTATGAAAGGTTAAGTAATTTTCTCATTTCAAAGGGCTATCAAAGAGGTTTGGTTGATAAAACTTTATTTAAAAAAAAAAAATAATGACGTAATTCTAGTCCAAGTGTATGCTGATGACATCATATTTGGAGCCACTAATTAATCTTTATCTAAAGATTTTATCAAAGATATGTAAGGAGAATTTGAGATGTCTATGATGGGGGAACTTAACTAATTTCTTGGATTACAAATTAAACAACTTCAAGAAGGAATTTTTCTTCATCAAACTAAATACTGCACAGAACTTTTAAAGAAATTTGAGATGGAACATTGCAAAGAAGCATCAACACCAATATTCACAAATTGCTATCTTGATTCTGATGAAAAAGGAAAACCTGTTGATGAAACCAAATATAGAGGGCTTATTGGTTCTTTGCTATATCTAACAACAAGTAGACCTGACATTATGTTCAGTGTTTGTATGTGTGCCAGGTTTCAATCTGCACCAAAAGAATCACATCTTACTGCTGCAAAAAGAATCCTCAAATATCTCAAAGGAACTTTAAATGTTGGGTTATGGTATCCTGGTGAGTCCAAACTAAATTTAATTGGATACTCTGACTCAGATTTTGCAGGTTGTAAGCTTGACAGGAAAAGTACCAGTGGCACCTGTCATCTTCTTGGAAGCAGTCTAATTTCATGGCATAGTAAAAAACAATCATGTGTTGCCCTTTCTACAACTGAAGCGGAGTACATTGCAGCTGGAAGTTGTTGTGCTCAATCTCTTTGGATCAAACAACAACTTGAGGATTATGGTTTAATTCTCAGAAAGATTCCTCTCTTATGTGATAATACTAGTGCCATTATGTTAACTAAAAACCCAATTCAACATTCTAGGACAAAACATATAGAAATTAGACATCATTTCATTAGAGATCATGTTTTGAAAGGTGATTGTGAAATTTTCTTCATAGAAACTGAAAAACAACTAGCAGATATTTTTACAAAACCTCTTGCTCGTGATCAGTTTTACAAAATTCGCACTGAATTAGGCACGATAGATGCATCAAACATTGCTTAGTTTTCAAAACTGGTTGTTTTAATCGATACAAACAAGTTTTAAATCGATTAAAAGCACTTATAAAACATTTTTCTTTACTGTTTTTATCAATTAAATGTCGATTTAATCGATTATATCAACTTATGTTTTAACTTTCAGATTTCATCACTGTTTTAATCGATTAAAACTTTATTTCAATCGATTAAAACCATTAACAAGAACTTTTTAAATCGATTTTGTCTTGTTTTCAATCAATTTTTACTTTGGGAAGAAAAATTAAAGGCTTTAGTTAATGGTTGTTCTTGTAACATGCTACTAAAGCATGGTTCCCTTATCTTTACACGTGTTAATTGTATTCATTACAAACGTGTTAATGAAGGTAAGTTTGAATCAACTTTAATTGGTCTTTACATGAGTAAGGTATCGTATCCAAATTTGTTTTCTATTTTCAAAATCTAAAACTTGATACATACCATGCATAATGTTGTCCCTCTGTTCCCAATTTTTGATGAAGTCAAAAGGAGGAGAAATAATTGCTTTACTTCTGATCAATTTAGGGGGAGAAATAATTCTTTAGGAGAGCAGCTGTAGACCCCTAATTTTGCCCGGCCTCTCAATAAAGGCAAAGGAGAATTCCTACAACAAGATAAAGTTCGCCGGCATCTCAAATAAAGAACAAGAAGACTTCCTATATGAAGATAAGGCTTCAACGGGCACCTATCGGCATCAACCGACGTCCGAATTAGGAAAGGAAAGCTTCCCGGGGGTCCCAGAACGCAAAAATTGCTGAAGACAGTTTGAGACAGCCGTCCCAAAGTTGGGACGGCCGTCCCAAAGTTGGGACGGCCGTCCCAAACAACCTAGGAGGGTCGAGACGCCCGTCCCAAAGGTGGGACGCCCGTCCCAGTGCACAAATTTGAATGGGACGGCCGTCCCAAATCCCAGACGGTCGTCCCAACCTTTCGGGATGCTCATCCTTGTTTTCTGGACCCCGGACGACCGTCCCAAAGCGTCAGGCTGCGAAAACTATAAATAGGAGGCTCATTTGCCACTTTTTCACACACCAGACAACTCCCAGTACTTGTCTTTTCTCTTCCTTCTTCAAATGAACTCTATGATTGCCTTGATAAGGTAACAATCAGTTAAGGAATCATATTCCAGCATTCGATTCTTCTGTAAAAGTTTAGTCGAGTCGATCTTGTATTTGGAGAGGAGAGTCTTTGTAGAGCGGGGGATTGCCAAAACGCATCCTCAAAGTTAAAGATTCGTAATACAAAGCTTGCTACGGAGGTTCCTTTCAATCCTCTTCTCTTTTACTGCTTTATTTATTGCTTTATGTATGCAATATGAAATAAAATCATGTAGATAACCATTTTTAATATTATGCAATAAAATAGGGTAATCACGTAATTTCTCGTAATCTTCACTTAAATGAATTAATCCGTCATAGGGAACCCGAAAGGGGCGTTGTGGGGTGCTAATACCTTCCCCACACGTAACTAACTCCCTTACCCAACTCTGGTTATAATGGCCAAGTTTGGTTTTTACTAAAATCAACGCCTTTTTATCCTTTTCCAATGTTTACGGTCAAAACATTGGTGGCGACTCCAAAAGAACCCCTTTTCGAAAACCTTGCTTTTATTAGAGGATAGTTCAGTTGTTGAGCACCTCGGAAGCAACGAACATATTTTAACTCAAAAACGCGAGTCTAAACCATCTTTTTGCGACCGCTCGCATAAAAGTTCGAAATGTCCCTAGACGTCGAAACGGACGGCGGCGACAGATGGCGACTTCACTGGGGAAGCTAGAGAGTTGATCCCATTTAGTGACGGATAAAATTCAAACTAAGTGAAGATTTGAAATTACGCCTTTACCCTTTTCCGTATGTTTTATTATATGGCTTTAATAATTACTATATGATTATTTTCTGCAAATTGTCTGAAATATAAACTGCACACAAAAACCCTTGCACACTACAGTCCCTCTATACCCGGGGGCAAGAGTGAATACCTATAGGGAGTGGGTGGCAGATACGACCGACTTGTTGGCACACGGGGCTACAACCGTTATCGAAAACCACCAACTCAAGGTGATAACTCTCTTTTTTTGGTCTAAGGATGTCAACACGGGGTTCCGTGCATGACCCGAGGACTGAGAGATTGAGAGGTCCCTTGTCGCCGCCATCCCAAAAGGATGATGGCGGTCGGAGCGACGCGATGGTTTTTCGACTCTTATTTCTTTCGTAATCGCATTTTTTATTGGTCACAACGCTTTTAGTTGTCCGATAACCGGGCTAACTTAAAAGCGAGGTTTTCGAAAAAGTGTCTTTGGGTTGTCCGATAACCGGACTAACCCTAAAGACTTATTTTTATGGGTTCTATGGAGTCGCCACCGACGTTTTTACCAGAAACATCGGAAAAGGGGTAAAAAAAGGCGTTGGTTTTTGAAAACCAACTTTGGTCCGTTAAAACC